GTAAACAACTCACAGCAGCCTATAGACTACTGTCTCCAAAGCATGGGTCCATTCTGCTCCAAGTTACAGAGTAACTACACTGATAGCTATAAATACCATTTGCTGTGAGGTTATTAGGCACGTTGCTATCTGAAGTTTCACAACAAGCCACGGACAAGGCCTGTCCATTTGATACAGGAATCAACTGAGTGTCAGAAAGTGAAGTAGCAGGTTCAAGGCCATGCTTCATGGGACAGGTAGTTCCAGGCTTCACGTGCACTTGACCTCACTGCAAAGCTCGCAGCTTACCATCCATCTCCCATTCAACACAGTGCTGCTCCATGGGAGGGCATTACAAGTATTCCCAAGTCATTTCACCACCACCCTCCTCAGCAGCCTCGGGTTTCTCGCAGGTGCCCTGGGAAGAGCGCAGGGTCCAGCCTTGGGTTTATCACCACATCATGGTCAGGCAGTTCACTTCAGCCAGCCTCAGTTTCCCCACCTGAAGAGTAGGGATTGCAGCAGCACTCCAGCACACTTCTAGCCCAGTTTTAGAGATGTGCATATCTGTGAATCTGTCCCACTGACCGCCCTCCAGAACCTTAAGTGTTCACTTTGGTCCCTCTTTCCTGGGCGTAACGAAAGATTTGGATTTCGACAGTTTCCTGTGTTTGCAGGTTGTTGTTGCGAGGGCCCAAGCCAGGAAATGTAATTTGAGTTATAAAATAACATGGAGAAAAAGAAAAACTCCAGGGACTGCAGAATGGTGGCGAGGCTGCACCAGACCACTACTCATCATTTCGCCACCACCCTCCTCATCCTGTGGGAAGCCTATCATACTGAGCACCTGTGCATGCAAGGCTACGAGCTCAGTCCTTCATGTGACCTGGTCACCCATCGTCCCCATCAGCTGTGAAAGACAAGCGCACACAGGGCCTTCACGTGGCTGGAGAAGCAGGCTCGCGGAGGTCACGTGACTTTCAATAGGGTCCTAAGTGAAAGGGCTGAGATTTGAGGACGTTTTTAGTCCACGCACTGCACCCATTCTTCTTGGTGTTCTCCATTCACTCTAGGGCTGATGCTTGGAGTATCCTAGGCTTAGCATCCAATAACCGAGCTGAAGGACAGCTCGGGTCAACTCATCCTATTTTAAATAGCAGACATTTCATCCTCCTGACACATCTCCTCTATGAGACTTTTACAAAATTCTTGTTATAAAACCCAGTTACTGGGGAAATGGGACCTTGAGTATCCTCTCATCCACCCTTTACCCTTGTCACCTGTTCCCCTGTGGCATATAGTTGGTTACAAACCTCTCTCGCTGTTTATCTCTCTCTTAATAAGCCCTATCTGCTCTCAGGAAGCTGTTTAACATTGTACCACTTAATTTGTCCTCGAGCCAGAATCTGCCATATGGAGTCTTTGTGCCCAGCCATGTTGATTTGTCTTATTTTTAAATAGCAGTGAACATTACATAAAACTAAAATAGCAGTAAGTTTCCAGGTGCAAACTCACCAAGCAGGGAGAGAGTGTGTGGCCAGGTCTACCTGGGACAGCTCTTCCAAATGGGTTGGGTGAAGGAGGATACAACTCCCACAGGCAGCTCCCAGGCACGTCTACACCCAACTCCACGCAGGCACTCGTCCCACGCCGTTCTAAGGCTTCAGCTCAAATCTGCTCTCCGTCACCTCCCTGACTGGACCTGCAGGCTGTGCAGCCCTGGCTTCTCCACAGACACACTCCTGAGAGTGGAGAAGACAGCGGAGACCCCAGAGAATTGGGCTGCCTGCACAGACAGGCCAAGTGCAAGCAGAACATTTCCTTCATGCCTCATTTATTTTACCACCAAATGTTCTGTGAGTGTTGCCCCATCTTCCTAGCTATAGCTAGGCTGCTATAAATGTACTTCTTCAAAATTATATGCTAGGAAACTAGGGCCACCCCCAAAACTTTATTTTTTAAAGAAATGAGCAACTCAAAATCATGTGGAGCCTATGGCTTTAGTCCCTCTGGGACTAGCGGTCTAGTACGTATGCCTGTCTGAACAGCCCAAACCCAATGCCAGATTGTGTCCCATAACAGGAAAAGACCTTTTCCCTGTGTGTGCTGTCCTAAGGAGAGGACTGCCTCTGAGTGAATGCAGGGGCAGCTGTACAGCGGTGCCCTCCTCGGAATCTGAGAATAAGAGGGTGAGGTAGACAAAGCTGGTCTGGTCTGGTCTGACGTTCTTTGGGAGTGTCTCATTAATCTTGTGATGTCTCATTTGGGCTGGGGATCGACAGAACAACACTGCAGCCCCATTTACAGGACTGGCTGCTTATGTGTTTACAACCAGCCATGTGGTGGCCTGAGCTCATCGAGGCTTCTTCCGCCCCTTACGAGCCCACCTCTCATGAGAAGCAGTAGAGTTCTTTATAAAAGAGAAGGAGAGTCAGTGCTCATAGACAGAGGCTGGGGCTTGGGCTTCACTTTATCTCAGGAGGCACTGAACCTGCCACCCTCTGCCAAATCCTTTGGACCAGTGAGCTCTGCAGGTGCCAGCCATCAGTGTGCCGCTCAAAGATGCAAAATCCAACCTCAAATACCAGATGGAACATTTAGATTGTAGCGCAAGTGATAGCCCACAGTCCAAAGCATTATCTAGCAGAACACAAAAGAGAGAAGGAAAGGAAAACGCGCAAAAGAAGAAGGATAATCTCTTGTTCCTTGTGGCAAGCATGCTGCAGTGTTTAAAAGTCCTTTTATAAAGCTGTCTCCAAAAAAACATTAGAAAACCACTTGCTGCTTCACTGTGTGAGTGCCCTCTCCTCCCCAAAAGAACAGACCATTCCAATCCCTTTAAAGTACCTTATACTTAAATATTTAAATAGCAATCCCAGACCTGCTCTGAAGAAAACAGCACAGTCCATTGAGTTGGTAAAGAGAGTGAAGTGTTTGTCAGTTACAATGGCACGCACCCTAAAACATAAACAAGCAGATTTTGAATAAATGCTTCTGAGGTGACACAGGGAAACAGCCCACTATGGCTGCCCTATTCATTTGTAAAGAGTGGTATGAGATAAAATAGTAGAGCCTGAACTCAGAGGTGCTTGTTATGCTTCGGCATGAAGGGAGACCCATAACTAAAATGCCACAGACGCACTGCCCCCAAATGCTCCAAAGTGATCCCAGTGACCACTGGGATGGTGTTGCCCATGGATTGCTTAAACTCAGTGTGCAGCACTGAGACCCCAGAGCCAGGGGTCACCTCCACAAAGCCGCTCCCCAACCTCACATCTCTGATTATTTTAAAGACTGGTCTGTCTTCCCTCACCCTTCCAAATAGAAGCACCTTCACTTTAGAGGCTCAAGAAAGACTTCTAGAAGGATCTCTGTTGGCCAGGAAAGGCTTGCCTGGAGTTTTCCAGGGAGCCACAAGGAAGCAGAGGGACACCACATAGTTCATCCTGCTTTTGTTTGCATCACTTTCTCTGTGATGAAGTGAACTTAGTAGGCCCAGAGCTGCTCAATTCCAACAGAATCAACTTGCCCTGAGGGCCTCAGCTGCAGACTAGCAAGCACAAAAGAGAACCCAATGCTCTGGCCAGACGGTGCTCAGGAGAAGCCCGGCTTTAAACCAGGTGCTGGCTCCAAATGCTATATTTAAAGAAGAATTCCCCCAGTGCAGCCTTAGAAGAGCCCACACGTCCACGATAGGTCCTGAAAGCATTATACAAAGATTAACTGAGGACACTTTGAATGCTGAACATGGTTTCCCATGGCACAAAAGGCTTTATAGGACCCTGGATGGATACCTGAAAATATTTTTTAAAAAGTAGGAGATGGGCTAGACCAGATTCTTTAGGAGAGCAGAACTTATCTTTAAATATTTGGCTGAACCAAGGGAAGAGGCCCCAAAATGATGTGAAAGCAGAATGCAGTGGGCACCTGTGCAGGAGCAGAGGAAGCCGGGCTGACCCTGCCCAAGAGCGAGTGGGACAGTGAGCAGGGCTGTGGGCTTTGCTGCCCCGTGGGGTCCCAGCCCGCCTTTGCGTCTGTCTTTGGAGGCTTTGGGGGATAATACTTACCCAACAGACTATTGTGCAAATCATGGAAATATTAACGGCGTCAGTGCTCAGTATGTTAGACAGGCTAAATGCGGGGCTGTTACTGCTTCTCCTATTACCTAAGCTTCATAAATTGAATAACAAGATGGAGTGTGTCATTTGCTCAGATTTCCTCAGCCCCTTGATTCAGATCTGTGGTCACTAAAAGTCCATTCCCCACCAAAGCGCCTTAATGGCACCTTCCTCCTAATGCCATGGCTATGTAGGATTTTCTTGTCTTGCTGCCCTAAATATCCCCAAATAGTGACCAATGTCTCCACCTTTATTACTGCCACTCTGTTCCCCTTAATAAAAAGTAAGCCAGCCAGATGTGGTGTCAAGTACATGTAACCATGATACTCTGAGAGGCTGAGGTAGAAGGACTGCAAGTTCAAGCCCATCCTGCGCATCTCAGTGACTTAGTTAGACACTGTCTCAAAATTTTAAGAAAAAAGGGCTGGGAATGTAGCTCACTGCCAAGGTCCTGTGCTCAAACCCAGGTACCAAAAACTAATCTTAATCTCAGTTTTTTGCACCTTTGCTTTCTTTGGTCTTTGGTGGTTACTGGCTATGCTGGTAAATAACATACATTAATAGTACCATTCACATGTAATTAAGTCCCTTTTAAATATTTTTCTCTTGCTAAGAAAGCAAAAGTGACACACAGTACCTGTTCAGTAGCCATTAGCCTACAGTTATCAAAATTTCTAAGGAAACACAAGAACACATCCCTGTCACTGCAATTGTCTAAATTATGGCTCATTATCTCATAGAGATTATGATAGTAGATATCTGGGGTCATGGAAAATCCAGAGCAGTCTTGTGACAGGTGGACTTGGGAACTATTTAGGTGCAGGGGGGACCTTCCTCCACTGCTGATTAGTTTCCTGAGGCATCTTAAAGCTCACTGAGACCCCGGTCTTTCTCCTGCCCCAGGAGAGAGCAGAGCTTCGTGCCGAAGCGCTGGAAGGAGGTGCGCGTGGGCGACTTCGTCCAAATGCAGTGCAATGAGGTCATCCCGGCAGACATCCTGCTCCTCTTCTCCTCGGACCCCAGTGGGATCTGCCACCTGGAAACCGCCAACCTGGATGGAGAGACGAATCTCAAGCAGAGATGTGTGGTGAAGGGCTTCTCACAGCAGGTAGGGCCCGCGCTACGATCATCAGTGTGGAGGTCACGGGGAAGCAGCAAGCTAGTGCTACTGGAAAATTTGCCTGCGTGACAGGAAAGGAGCCAGTATGGCTTTCCCAGGCGGGTTAGAGATAGAGTTTTTTAGCTTGTCAAAAATTGCCAATGTAAGTGATCAAAGTGGTTCTTAGGGCTTAATGCTGTATTTGATGTTGTGGGTTCACCTGTGTGTATTCCTGATTCCTCCCACTAAGCAGCACGGTACAAGTCCCCATGCTCCTTTAATTTCTGGAATAACTTTAACCTGCATAATCCAGATTCTTGCTCTCCATTTTTCCACAAAAGAATGCAATGATAAGAGAAAGTCACTAGTCCATGATCTTCAAAATACAAAAACATCTCCACAGAGGACGAGTGTCCAGCGAGACACCAACAAGCTCCAGTGAGCTGGCAGTGGCATTGTCTTGTTGCCTTTTAGCAGGTTGGGTGGCTTGTTTGATCAGTCTTCCAAATCCCCACATTTAAAACAAACCTGTTGCTACCAGCTCAGCCGCCAGCTGCTTTTCCTCTCTGAGATCGATAATATGCCCATATGCCAGACCAGGAAATTAAGTCTTAGAAAAGCTAAAAACTTGCTGATGGCATCAGAGTTGCTAAACATTGACTCTGTTCACCTGAAAAGTTCTCTCTGTGCTCCAAATGGAGGAGCCTAAGTAAGAGCTGTTTACAAGCTCCTGTCCAGGCCTCTCTTCTGTGTCCACACCAGCTCCTTCTCCCCAGCTCAGCTCTGGAGCTGCTCCCTGCCCAGGTATCAATACTCCTTTGCCCCTTTGCAAGCAACAGGAAATTGTAAAACTATTTTTCCAGCTTGGCCTTCCTTGTTGAGAGCAGGAATCCACCACTGACACTTGCTTTCAGTCCCCAAACTTACACTGTAGTACCTTGGATTTCTCAGGGAAAGCATTATTGTTTGGTGGTTCTGAGCTCAGGCTCTGGGACCTGATAGCCAGATTTAAAGACCAAACACCACCACTTATTAGCCATCTCACTTTAGGCAAGTTACCACCAGGCACACCTTAGCTCCTTCATCCAGAAATTAGGGGCAAAATGACACCTTTCCCACAGGGCAACTGTGGACACTAACTGACATAAGCCTAAATCACTCAGCATGAAGGTAGGTACAGGGGAAGAGATTAATAATACTTGGCACGAACACCATTGGTGTTTGTAGGCAATATGTGTTGACCTATTGAGCCTACATGTGATATTCTGATTTTCAATGAAAACTTCCCTTGTGGGGCTTGATTTCCAACCTGGCACCTTGTCCCTGTCATGGAAAAGACTTGCACTCCCTCACTTTCTTCACTCTGCCACTCTTTGGCTGAGGAGAAGCCAAGCGAAATCTGAGGACTGGGGAGAAAGAAGGCAGCATGCCTCATTCCTCCGAGGAGCTCTCTGGTGGAGGGTTATTTATTTAGACAGCACCTTCTCCCAATTGGACCACACAGCCCACCTCATCCTCCCCCTCCCAAAGCACCTGGCAAGCAGTTCTCGTAAAATCATCAGTCAGCTGGACACAGCAGCAGATACCTGTAATCCTTGCACTATGAGAGGTTGAGGCAGGAGGATCACAAGTTTGAACATGGCCTGGGCAGGCTAGTGACTTAGCAAGAAGCTTCCACAACATAAGTAAAATGAATTGGGCTCTCACTCAGAACAGAGGCCTGAGGTTCACTCTCCAGCACCACCACCATCGCCAACAATAATAATATAGTAATGTTGGGGTGAAGTGAGTCCTCAAAGTCTCCTCTTGTCCTTTCAATGGGAATGCTAGAAGCTCTCCCCAAGTTTTGCAATGATATTGAAATAGGATAAGGAAAGGAAAGTACAAGACATAGTTTGGTGCCTACTTTGTCACCCTATCCTGCTACTGTGTCTCCAGCTGCTGCTGCCAGAAATGGGAGCAGCCTTCACCATGGTCACCCAGCTGTCTGCAACCTCTGAGTCAGTCCCTGGGCTGAGGCCAGGCCTCTGGGTTGGTTGCTCCTTTGCTCATCCCTCCCACATCCACTGAGTCGCCCTGGAGTTTAGGAAAAAGCAGGAAGAGCTCTGGTCTAAGTCCACGAAGTCCTTCTAGACCAGCAGTAGCAATGCCTATTGGCACTTAGGGCCTAGTGACCTGATTTCCTGACTAGAGGCTTTGCATTATTGCTTAATGTGTAATAAATGCATGTTACACACACACATATACATGTGCAGGTACGAACATGTGTGTGCACATGTGTGATGTATAAGCCTGACAACCAAAGCTTAACTACATGCATAGCACTCTGAGGCTTTCTATTATTTGTTTTCTTTAAGTTCGAACACGAATAAACTTGCATTTTCTTGGGAATCTCTGCCTCACCCCCTCTGCCCTCAAATTCACATCCAATGCATATCTTTTTCACTCTTTCTTGGGCAAGAATTTCAGTGCTATTGCATTTCACCCAATGTCTTTTCTTTCTGTCTTTGACAGAAACTTCCAAACTATTTAATTAATAATTTGGGATTTAACTAGAATGAAGTCAGGGGAAAAGGTCATTCACACTTCAGTGCTCTGGACCAGCCAATTTAATAAGCCTCTTAAACTCTAACCCTGAATTCTCACAGGGCACTTGGCATTCAAAAAAAAAAAAAAAAGTAAATTCATATATGGAAAAAAATTGATCTTGAAGATTTCCAGAGTTCTCTATTCTTATTCTGATTCTCCCCTTTTCTTTGCTCAAGTATTATTTTTGTAATTCAGTAACAAATGTGAGTCCACATTAAGGGCTTCACATGATTAGCTCATGTATCCTCACAACAGCCCAAGACATAGGTGATCTATCATTATCTGCAGAGTATACCAAGGACCCTGGGCTTAGAGAGCTCACAGAACTTATACACAGTCACTGAGCTGGAACAGAATTAAAAATTCAAGCCCCGACTCTGAAAGTCTATAGAGTAGCTCCCTGGTTCTTTGTTCACCTAGAGATGCTGACTCAAATGCACATAGCTATTGTTTTCCATATTCTTTCCATGTAGAAATGTTGGATGGCAAGAAGAATCGAAGGAGAAGAATTAAATTTCAGCCCACTCCTTAGGGAGGAAGAGCTTGGGCTGCTCTTTGCTGCCTTAGTTCTCCTTTATTATGTAGCACAGAAAGATATTTGAGGGTGCATGACTTTTGGCTAATGCTGTAGGATTGCCCTGATGTGTCAAACAAAGATGTGAAAGAGAGTTTCAAAATGCATAAATGTTGCAAAGTCAAGTAAGATCAGAAGACAATAGGTTAGAAGTTTTAAATATTGTGTATGGCAAAGCCTCTCTTACATTTTAATAAGACCCAAGAAGAAAAGGAGTGGGTACTAACAAGGATTTCTAAACATTTAAGCACAGAAACTTTTTATTCTAGGGAATATATCCCAGAACTGTCATAGGATAGAAAGATCAACCCTTAAATGATTTGATGCAGATAACATTATGGATGCTTAGGAATGTATCATAATCATCTCTGGGGAACATATTTTTAAAGTATGTGTACATTGATCCTTCCCTACGGCCACCTCTAAATTATGCTTCACCAGGTCTGAGCAGGGATTTGACCATACGTAATTTGAAACTGCTCCCCCAGGTGACCTTGGCATGAATCTAGCCTCACCTCCATGAAGCCCTATGTGCAAAGGAAAGGGGTCACTCAAGTACTGCCCCCAGAAAGCCACTTGTTACCATGAGGACAGAGCCACTGCTCATGATTGCATGTGCTACATCTCCATGAGTCCCTATCCCCGCCCTCGGAGGTGGGTGCCACTGTCTTCATTCTGCAGATGAAACTTAGACCCAGAAAAGATGACTCTTAGCAACTGTCTCAGATTTTGGACACCTACAAATGTGGTTTGTTTAGAAACCTCATATATTAAATAAAGAATATCACTGGCTTCTGTTAACTCATTTTCCTGCTAAATTCCTATAATCTATGATTCCTTTACTTTCCCAAAATACTTTTGTTAGCCACTGATATTTGTAGAAATTTCCCATCCCAAACATTCACCCACTCAAAGTATCTACTCTCTTGCTCATATTGAGAGATTATTAACTTCAGTTGGAGTCTATTAAATTCAGCTTTCTAAACCAACATTTCTCAAGGCAGAATATGCCAGTTTAGGATTTTGTGTTGGTTTTTGGTAGTTGGTTGGCTTCTTTTTCATGCTGGGGATTGAACTGAGACCTTTAATGCTGATCCACATTATCCTCATTTTGTTCTTTATCATTTTTTTCTTTCTTTTTTTGAGACAATATATTGCTAAATTTCCTAGGCTGGGCTCAAACTTATAATCCTCCTGCCTCAGCCTCCCAGGTTGCTGTAATTACAGATGTGTGCCACTACACCTGGATGCCAAACATTTATTAAAAGAAATAGTTCATGGAAGATATGGTTCATGTTCAGGACAACAAGTAAAATTGAGAAGTTGGTGTTTTGTGGGTCTCTTGGAAGATTCAGTGCTTATTAACATATTAAGTTTTTTCAAAAGACCAAGAGACAAAAGGTCTGTTAAACTTTAATTCTAGGCTCTCCAACTCACTTGAGCTCAGAATCATTTTTTAGAACAATACTTATTAATGTGCTTATCAAATTTTGGAAAATATTAACCTGAATGTTGGCACAGGTATCGTCACAACAGGTGAAGAGTGACAGAGAAATGGACAATCCTCCTGGCATAAGCAGTTATCCTGCCCTCTCTTGATTAGAATCAAATGGAATTAAAAACATAAAAAGCTTCTGGAAAGAGCCTTTCTTCCTTGACACTGCAGTTGCCAAACTGTCTTTTTCAATCCTTTTCTCAGAATTCAACTTGGCCAAACTAATTATTTTTTCAATTGGAAACTTTATTAGTGATAAGCTATCTTTGAATTCACAAAATTATTGACCTGTTGGTGAAATACTAATTCTCCCCTTTCTGAAAGAAGGAAAGGAAAAGAATTCAAAATGAG